ATTTAATTAACAAGTTTGTATTTTATTCAATAGGTAATGTATCTGTGGATAGTCATGACCAGTATTTAACACAACTTTTGGATCTTGTGTTGGGATTGTTCTTACCTGGTTATAAGAAGATGCAATAGTACATAATGTGTCTGTCATCAACAACATACAATTATTACATCAGCACTGTGCTCTACAGACCTTCGTCACAGTAAGTGTGCACAGGTGCAAAGTTGCTACATGTAAGATTGACAGGTAAGTACCCATCGGTACCCAGGAGAAAATGTAATAACTTAAATAAATTATTCTTTCAACTGAACCAAATAGCCTTCTTTAGGTCGTTATTCAACACGGGCTATTGTCATTATTAAGCATTAAGTCTCTGATAATAAGAACAGCATATCCAAAGGTTACAATTCTATGGCTAGATGTAATCTTTTTGACTTTAATAGCAAGTTTGTATCATGGAAGTTTGTAAATGCAGAGATCTGATTGGATTGTACGTTAGCGGATACAATCGAAGCCCTTGACAGAAAGACTGTAAACAGTTTAACTGCATTGTGAAGATGGTTCCACCAGAGTTATTTTGAAACAATTGGAGACAGAAACAACCAGACAACTCACCTTCCATCAGGCTGGTTTTAGACACAACCAGACAACTCACCTTTCCATCAAGCTGGTTTTAGACACAACCAGACAACTCACCTTTCCATCAAGCTGGTTTTAGACACAACCAGACAACTCACCTTTCTATCAGGCTGGTTTTAGACACAACCAGACAACTCACCTTTCCATCAAGCTGGTTTTAGACACAACCAGACAACTCACCTTTCCATCAGGCTGGTTTTAGACACAACCAGACAACTCACCTTTCCATCTAGCTGGTTTTAGACACAACCAGACAACTCACCTTTCCATCAGGCTGGTTTTAGACACAACCAGACAACTCACCTTTCCATCAAGCTGGTTTTAGACACAACCAGACAACTCACCTTTCTATCAGGCTGGTTTTAGACACAACCAGACAACTCACCTTTCCATCTAGCTGGTTTTAGACACAACCAGACAACTCACCTTTCCATCAGGCTGGTTTTTATCATCAAAAGAATCCAGGAATTCTCGCAGACATCTTTTACCATTCCAGTCACCGTTTACATATTTAGGATGTTTGGAATAATCGTAGACTGTTTCTAAATCTCCAGTAGTAATTATTTTATCACCTCTGTCTGTGTTTAATTTATCAAAAGCTGCTTTTACCAGTCGCATTCTTCTATCAGACATTTTGGGCTGAAAAAAAGAACCCAAAGAAAACGTTTAGGTTTTGATTATTAATCATTTAAATGAATTTTTTCGTCTTTTTTTTTTCAACCAAAGCTATTCAGTATGCAATGAAGGAAATTAGCAAATACATTAGATTTATTGTTGACACAGGGAGTCTCGATTTTTTCCCCAGAGTCTCGATATTATATCATTGTAAGCTCCTCTAAAAAGGCTTCACATCAATAATAGGCCCTACTTATAGTAGACAAGCTCAATGTTTTCTATAAGGGACTGCTCAGATTAAAGAAAACTATACACCAAAAATCAAAAAAATTGTCCTTTATCTCAACTATATCTTGTCATTAATTTCTAGAATGCAAAGTCTATTTGACTAAACTCTTTTGTCTAGACTGTAATCTACTAACAACTACCTAGTGTGCGATATCAGCATCTTCTAGAAGCGGATGTTAACTTGTCATCTACCGAACACACAGCTCCAAAGCCATTTAACTTATTTAGCCAGGAATCAATTTAAATAATCCACCAACCTGCATCATGAGTAAAAATTCTGTAACGTTGACCTGTCCACTTCCATCTTTATCAAATCTATTAAATACTTCTCTCATCTCTTCCTTGTTTAAATCTTTCATCCCTTGATCTCTTAATCCTTCTTCAAACTCTTCTAAACTTAGTTTCTGATTCCCGTTATCATCTACTCTTCTAATCCATCTAAAATTGAATAGGTCAAATATTATTATACACGTGCATTTTAACTCTTCCAATATCGCCCTTTCCCATTCCCCCCCCCCCCCCCTC